GGCACATGCCCAGGTTGTGGGCCAGATCCCCAGTGGGGGGCATGTAGGAGGCAGCCAATCGATGTTCTCTCTCATCGATGTTTCCATCTCTCTCTCCCTCTCCCGTCTTCTCTCTCTAAAAATCAATAAAGGAAAAAAAAAGATTTTAAAGACAAAAAAAGAAAATGCTTGATTTAAACTGACACGTCCTGTCAGCTGGACAATTCACTGCTCCCTCCTCAATGCTCCCCTTGGACTTAGAGCCTCCCTCTATGATGGCCTTTAGCCACATGGTATCACGGTTATTATGCTAAATGGAGTAACCAAACAAACACCCTGGCACCCAGACCCAACCTCTTGCTATGATTGGAGAGCTGCCCCTTCATCCTAACGCTTCACCTGAGCTTCGAGCTCCTGCTGTCTTCTTGGAAGTCTAGCGTGTGCTCTCACACTGTAGCCTTGACCTCTACACTGGACCCTGCTCTCAGCAATTCACATGCTGCCATTCCCTTTCCCCTCCCCCCAGCGCCCCATGGGGAAGCTCTCCTCCTCCTCAAGCCAAAGCTCTGTGGCAATCTGCACTATTTCCATCTCCCTTCCCTCCTCAACCCTCCCCACTCAGGCTTACAACCCCATGCCGCTGCCAGAACTATTCCACTCCAGGACACCAGGACGTGCCCGGTCACTCTCCATGTCTTTGTCCTCATCTTCTCGACCTCGGCAGGACTCAGGGTAGTTGGCACTTTCTCCTTGGCTTTCATGGCACCACACCGCTGGCTTTCCCGGGCTTCTCTGGCTGTTCCTTCCCAGACTCCACTGCAGCTCACCCTCCTCTCTGCCTGTCACATGCTGAAGATCCTCAAGGCTCAGCCCATGTCCCTGTTTGAGTGTCACTCAGTCCCAGGACGGGTTCTTCAATAACTGATCAGTTATCACCTACACCACTATGGCTCACAAATGTGTCTCCCCTCCGAGTTCTCTGGACTCCCAGGCCCTTGTATCCACCTGCCCACCTGACACGGCTGCTCGGTTACCTCGTGGGCACCCCCACTCCACCTGTCCCAAACTGAACTCACACCAAGCCTTCTCCCAGGTCTTCCCGTCCGCTGAGCCATAGAACGTCAGTTCCATCAAGCAATAGAAGGAGTGGGGACCCTAACGTAAACTATGAAGTTTGGGGAGTTATCGTTTTTTTATAATATAGGTATAGGTTTATTATAATACATGTGCCACTCTGGGGGTGAGGGCGTTAATATGGGGAAGCTATGCATGTGTGTGGACGGGATATATGGGAAATCTCTGTACCCTCCTCTCAATTATGCTGCGAATCTAAAACGGCTCTTTAAAAATTAAGTTTAGCCCTGGCCGGTTTGGCTCAGCGGTTAGAGCGTCGGCCTGCGGTCCTGAGAGACCCGGGTTCGGTTCCCGCTAAGGGCACGTACCTGGGTTGCAGTTTGTCCCCGGCCCTGGTTGGTCGTGAGGGTGGCAGCCACTTGATGTGTCCCTTTCACGTCGATGTTTCTCTCTCTCTCTCTCTTCCTCTCTCTCCCTCCCACTCTACCTGAACAAAAAATGGAAAAATGTCCTCCGGTGAGGGAAAAAAAAAAAAATTAAGTTTAAAACAGCAGTTCTCAACCCGTGGGTCGCGACCCCTTTGGGTGTCCAACGACCCTTTCACAAGGGTCGCCTAAGACCATCAGAAAACACATATTTCCGATGGTCTTAGGAACTGAGACATTGCTCCTCTATCCGTCTCCAGGCAGGTCCGCCCACATGCAGACACGCCCACGTCAACATGAGGAACTGGATTAAAGGGTCGCGGCGTCAGAAAGGTCGAGAACCACTGCTTTAAAAAAAGAGGGGGGGAGTTCGCTAGATGAAACTGAAAGAAAATTGCCAAAATGCTCATGATGCTTATAATAAAGTTGGGTGATTAATATATGTGAGTTGATTTCACTGTTATCTCTACATATGTACTTTTGAGATATTCCATAACAAAAAAAGGCTCGAAAATTGGTGTGATAACAATTTTATCCCATTGGATTTTTATATACGTAGTTCTCTGAAAATACCTTGTGTATCACTCCTTTCTTACTTCAGTAGGAACCTCCAATGAATCGAGAATTGTTGAAGAAAATCCAGCAGGACCACCAACTGGTCTTACTATTCAATATTTTAACAGAAAAGACAAAAGTGCTTCAAAACTAAACTTTCGTGAGAAGAACTTTGTGACCACATTGAGACAATAGTCTAAAACCCATCTAGCTCCACTTCTTCCCTGTTCAGTATTCAACAAATTTTAACAAAAGATACCCTTGGTTCCATCAGATTACGGCAATATAAAGTGTGGTCTGCGGTGGTGGGAAAGATAAAGACCATCTGATTTTCCTTGGAGGAGAGGTCTTCTACTGAAAGAAACTAGCAAAGTCTTTACTATGAAAGGCTTTACATCAGAAGATGAAGAATAATCTGGGTTCTAATATGTAAGCATTAGACACCTAATTAGTCTGCTAATTAGTCTGCTTCGGAACTTACACTTCTCAAAATATCTTTTGTTTCTGAGACCATATGATGTTGACTTATATTATTAATTCTTGATCCTCAAATAGATGTGCTATTGGACCATGCAGAGAAGGGTGCATGCTCCTACTAGAAACCTCGCTTCCCATTTTCCTTCTTCTAAGATGTATTTTCAAAATAAAAAATCCTGCCCGGCCGGTGTGGTTCAGTGGTTGAGCGTTGACCAAGAGGTCACTGGTTCAATTCCCGGTCAGGGCACATGCCCAGGTTGTGGGCCTGATCCCCAGTGGCGGTCATGCACGAGGTGACCAATCGATGTTCTCTCTCACCGATGTTTCTATTTCTCTCCTTCTCCCTTCCTCTTTCTCTAAAAATCAATAAAGAAAAAAAATTTTTTTAATCCATAGAAAGGGAAGCAAATTAAGCCTATCTTATTTCTAATCATTAACCTAAACATTTTTTAGGTTTTGTTTTTTTTTTTTTGTCTCAAACGTTAAATGACATGAAAGCATTTTAAACTTTCAGGACCTATACATCACAAATAATGCTTTAAACAAAACAATGCAAAATCTCATGAAAGTCTTGGGTAAAGAGCTTTTCTTGTTTTTCTCTAGGTCACAAAATTAGTTATAAAAGATACTAAATCATTTGCATTGTTTTCTCCTATTATAAAAGTTGAGATTTTTTTCTTTTGAAATGAAACATCTCCTCTTTTCACATGACGGAGTTTAAACTTTCTTGTGTGTGTGGCAGAATCCAGTAAATCAACTCGTTGCCGTAGTTCGTTGTCAGAACTCTTACGCGCTGACTAATCCGATCTGCCTGTCCTCCAGCTCCACCACACCCTCAGCTCTCCAAGCTCCGGTGAAGTTCTGAGCTGGCTGCTCTATGCCATGTGGACACTGGACAGAGGAACCCAACTTCTTCCACATTGCTTAGGTCTCCCCTGCCTCCAATATGCATATCAAAAAAGCATACTTTTACATTAGGTTTTGATGATTGATATAAGTCATTTAAAAGCTAATCCTTTTATGTCACTTTTTTTTTTTTTTTATCCTCACCCGAGGACATTTTTCCATTTTTTTTTGTTCAGGTAGAGTGGGAGGGAGAGAGAGGAACAGAGAGAGAGAGAAACATCGATGCGAAAGGAACACATCGAGTGGCTGCCACCCGCACAACCCAACCAGGGCCGGGGACAAACTGCAACCGAGGTACGTGCCCTTAGCGGGAACCGAACCCGGGTCTCTCAGGACCGCAGGCCGACGCTCTAACCGCTGAGCCAAACCGGCCAGGGCATTTTTATGTCACTTTTTTAGGCCAGCCACGATTTGGCATTGGCTTCTCTCAAGAACTTACTCAAGAGTCAACATTTATTACCTCTGTTTTCAGTTAATGAGACTGAAACTCAGAGCAGTTAAGCAACAGGCTGAAGATCACACAGCTAGGACTTGCCAGAGATAGGATTCAGCTTTCTCAAGTAGTGCTGGAGTTACTTCTTGTAACCATCGGGTCACATCTCCAATCTAAGATTTCTGGTACTTTTTCCCCACTGGTGCAGGTACCCTGAAAATGCCCAGCACTTGGCTCTGCTTCTAAGCTAAGAATTCAGTGCTGGTCTTTAATTGGTTCTACAGTGACTGTTGCATTAACTTGGGACCTGAACCCTAATTGTTAACAATCACATAAAGTAAAACTTAAAAAATAATGATACTTTGTTTACAATTGCCAGAAGGCAACAAAGAGTCATTTTATACTTCTAAATCTTGTGTTCAAATACTATCTAAATTTTATTCTCATCAGTCAGGTCATTTTCAATTATTACATAAATGTTTTGTTGTTGTTTGTTTTTTACTCTGATTACCATTACTAATTGGAAAACAAACAAAAATAGGAAAAACTTCCTCTTTTATGAATGATAAAGCTACAAAAAGAAGGGTTAAGTCTATGCGGTTTAATAAGGCAGCCACTGGCCACATGTGGCCACTGAGCATCTGAAATGTGGATGGTTCGAATTGAGATGTGTGATAAGGGTAAAATACAGAGCAGATTCTGAACACTCAGGACATTAAAAAAAAAAAAAAGGTTGTACAATATCCCACTAGCAACTTTTATATCAATTACCTGTTGAAATGATAATATTTTGCCTATAATGAGTTAAATAAAATGTATTATTAAAGTTCATTTCACTTGTTTCTTATTACCTTTCTCATGTGGCTACTAGAAATCTTGAATTCCATATGTGGTTTTGCATGTGTCTATGAACAGGACTTAGATAAAAGAAAGTATTAGTGTGTGTGCAATTAAGCTGCTCCTAGCATATATATTCATCAGTGAAAAGCATACTTTTTTTTCAGTGACAAGGTTAAATATCTATGTGATAGCAATTCTTCTATGTTCTCGAAGTTCTGCCCTGTTGAACTGAACCTGTATCTATAAGAACACCACAAAAAGGCATTTCCTCTTCCGGAGAGATTCTCAGACTGATTTTTCACTACTCAGAAATGTGGACCCGAGATGACATGTCAAGAACAAATAAAGTACCAGCATTTCTCATGTGGGTTCCAAAGCACCGGGCATGGTTCCGAGCAGTGGTCACTCACACAGAGCACCCATCTCTACCATTGGGGTGACGGTTTCCAGCGCAGCAGCGCAGAGCCAAAGGACACCCACGAGTTCATTACATAATTCTTGGTAGCGTGAGGCCAAGTGTGTATCTGCGCTGAGCAACGGCGCAGGCTCTGCCGTGCAGACTGAGGCCGTCACCACGGTGTTTTGACAGAGCGTGTGCTAGAGGTTGTTTGTTTGGAAAAAGACTGACCAGCTTTCTCTCTCTCTCTCTCTCTCTCTCTCTCTCTCTCTCTCTCTCTCTCTCTCTTAAACACTCTGGCATAATACTGAATGACTTTGTTTTCGAGCTGCCTTAGCCTTCCTTTGTGAAGAAGAAAAAGCCTGAGTATTCTTTCCCTGTAGGACACATGTGTTGTTTTTGGAGCAAAGGTTCTTAGCCCGATCTCTGTCTAAACCGATTTCTGCTCTTTGTGAGGTCGTGGTCTGGGCGGCTCCCAGTGATCTCGGTGGAGGGAAGCTTCCGGCTCCACCAGGAATGTGGGCAAAGATGTCGAGGGGCCACCCCTTCGAATTCAGACTGCCCGGGAACAGTCGCGGCCACATGTGCGAAGCTGTGTGCTTTTCCTGCTGTGTCACTTCATGGGGCGTTTGAGGTCAAGGTGACTCCCCCTTGCTAACCCGGTACTTTAGGTCACAGACTCCCCAGAACTAAGAAAGCCATAGCTGGACCATCTCTGCAGACCACTCGGGGTGCGGGGCTGTGGGAGGGCCACAGCTGGAGTCCCTGAGGGCTTCCGAGGAGCAGGGCTCAGGACCCCGAGTTCAGAGCATCCTCCTCTGTAGCGTGCTCTGCCTGCGGCTTCCAGGCGCCAGGAGGAAACTGCTCCAGCTTCTCATGGCTCCTCTTCCTGACCTGTCATTCCAGGGGTTTACAGAGCTTGAGGCTGCTAGGAAACGTGTAAAATTAGAAACAGCTCAAAACTGCCGTCAGCAACACACAGTGCACGCCTCGCTCTGATCCCTTCCTTTGGAAATTGGGAGCTGTGTGTTCAGGGAGCAGATGTGTGTGGAGAAAGGCCAGGTGAGGACCAAGGAGCCCCTGCAGGTGTTTCAGGCTGCCACCGCCTCTGGGGACAGGAGGTGACCTGTGATGTGCCCTTCCCTGACCAGCTGTACGTAGCCAGCAAAGCTTCTTACACCGGAAACCTCCTTCTGCAGCCGCCACCAGTCCACCCGCCGGCCAGAGGCCTACCCGTAAATCCCCTGGGAGCCACTGAACCTTGGAACGCAGACCAGCCAGCTGGCACCCAGACCTGACCGCAGCCCCTGCAGCCCTTCATCCCTCCTTTTCTTCTCCTGTGCTCAGCATGGTGGACATGGGGGCCTGGACAACCTGATCGCCAACGCGGCCTACCTGCAGGCCCGGACCGGAGGGAGACAGCAGGGAGCTGCAGCGGCGCCCCGCCAGGCCCTGCCCCCCGACTTCCACAGCCTGTGCGAGCAGCAGCCCATCGGCCGCCGCCTCTTCCGGGACTTCCTAGCCACGGTGCCCGATACCGAGAAGCCGTGGCCTTCCTGGAGGGGGTGCAGAGCTGGGAGCTGGCCGAGGAAGGCCCCAACAAGAGCAGCATGCTGCAGGCACTGGTGGCCACTGCTGCGGGCGCCCCTGCCCCTGGGCACCCACACCCCTTCCTCAGCCCAGCTCTGGCCATCAAGGGCCACGCGGCCACCACCGAGGACGAGTGAGTGGCCCTGGTGACACTAGCCAAGGCTGAGGCCATGGTCTTCTTGCAGGAACGGCCCTTGCGGGACTCCCTGGCCAGCCCCTTCTACGACAGTTTCCTGCAGTGGAAAGTCCTTGAGACGCAGCCAGGGTCCCACAAGTACTTCACCGAGTTCCGCGTGCTGGGCAAAGGTGGTTTTGGGGAGGTAAGCTCTCAGAACAGCCTGGTTGGAAGGTGAGGATATAGCGTAAAAGGGTTTTGTTTTTGCCTTTTTAAAAGAATGTGTGTTTTTCCAAGGGAACTTCCTTAAAACTGATTTCAGTGTCACCTGTGGGGAATTCCTAATTCAATCCCCCCTCCTCTTTACCATCACTGTGAAATAAGATGAGATGGCACAGGAAAGACAAACAAAATGTGGACCTGGCCAAGAATCTTTATCTTGGGGTCCACCCCAGGAACCCACTGCAATGCCCTGGCCATCTTGGAGAATGATAGCAACATATGAGAGAGCTCCCCTTCCCCTTAAATGTGGGAATAAAGGTCACGGGAGAAAACTTGCAGGCAGCAATCTGGGAAAGCCCTCCTCTCAAGGTGAACTGAGAATTCCTTTTGCACCACTGCTGTGCTCAGGTCTTTTGTTGTTGTTGTTAATCCTCACCGGAGAGTATTTTTCAATTGATTTTTAGATAGAGTACAAGAGAAGGAAGGAGGAAGAGAGAGAGAAACATCGATGTGAGAGAGACACATCGATTGGTTACCTTCCGTAAGACCCCCATCTGGGGCCAGAGGTTGAACCCACAACCCAGGTACATACCCTTGACCAGGAATTGAACCCGTGGCCCTTTGGTCTGTGAACCAATGCTCTAACTGCCAAGCCAAACTAAATAGTTTTTTTTTTAAGCAGAAAAAAATTTTTTTGAGATAAAATTCACATAACATTAAAATTAACCATTAACCATTTACCATTTTAGAGGTAAAATCACATAACATAAAATTAACCCTTAACCATTTTAAAGTGTACAATTCAGTCACATTTAGTGCATTACAATGCTGTATAACCATCACCTCTATTTAGTTCCAAGATATTTCCATCACCCCTGCACCCGTCAACATCACTCCCCATTCCCCCCCCTCTCTGTCCCTGGCAACAGCTGATCTGCTTTCTCTCTCTGTGGACTTGCCTACTCTGATGTCTCACATGAATGGAATCACACAATATGTGACCATTTGTGTCTGGCGTCTTTCCATGAGCATAATTTTTGGAGGTTCATTCATGTTGAAACATGTGTCATTCCTTTCTAGGGCTGGATAATATGCTACTGTGAGTATACTACATTTCATTTATCCACTCATCTGTTGATGGACACTTGGGTTGTTTCTGCCCTGTGGCTGTTGTGAATAGCACCACTGTGAACACTTTTGGAAGAACCACCACACTCTCTCACGTTTTACGTTCTCACCAGCAACGCACAAGGGTTCCGATGTCTTCACATCTTCGCCAACACTTATCTTCCCTTTGTTCAGTATGGCCTACCTAGTGGGGTAAAATGGTGCCTCGTTGTGGTCCCAGCTCTTCCTTGAAGAACATTTCTTTTTTTTTATCCTCACCCGAGGACATTTTTCAATATTCTGTTCAGATAGAGTGAGAGGGAGAGAGAGGAAGAGACACAGAGAGAGAAACATCGACGTGAAAGGGACACATCGATTGGTTACCACCCACACGACCCAACCAGGGCCGTGTGGGTGGTAACCAATCGATGTGTCCCTTTCACGTCGATGTTACCACCCACACGACCCAACCAGGGCCGGGGACAAACTGTAACCGAGGTACGTGCCCTTAGCGGGAACCGAACCTGGGTCTCTCTGGACCGCAGGCCTGCACTCTAACCGCTGAGCCAAACCGGCCAGGGCTGAAAAACGTTTCTTTGTTACAGCTCCTCTTTTCTCAGAAGCCTGCCGTCTCTTCACTTGGGCAGATTGCCACCCATCTACCTGCCAGATCGTCCTCCCTCTGCCTCCCTCCAGGGTTTTCTACTTCCAGCTCTTCCTCTCCCTTTCTTGCTCTCTTTTAAGGTACGTGCTGTCCAGGTGCAAAACACCGGGAAGATGAACGCCTGTGCGAAACCGGACAAGGAGCGGCTGAAGCTGAAAAATGGCGAGAAAACAGCTCTCTCGGAGAAGGAAATCTTGGCGAGGATCACAGCCTTTTCATCGTCTCTCTGGCCTATGCCTTTGAGAGCAAGTCCCATCTCTGCCTGGTCATGAGCCTGATGAATGGGGGAGACCTCAAGCTCCACATCTCCAGCCTGGGCACGCGAGGCCTGGCCACGAGCGGGGTGGTCTTCTACGCACCCAGACGACCTGCGGGTGCTGCACCTTCGCTCTCTCGGCATCGTCTACCGGGACCTGAAGCCTGAGAATGTGCTTCTGGACCACCTTGGCCACTGCAGGCTGTCTGACCTGGGGCTGGCCGTGCAGACCCGGATGGCAAGCCTGTCACCCAGAGGTGAGTGGCTGTCCATTGGCCCCTAGGGTGGAGCACAGAGTCGGAAAGGAGAGGAGAGGGCTGATCTATTCTCAGGACAAACAGAGCCTTGAACTTAATTCTTTTCCTTTCGTTTTTCCTAAAGCCCTTATGTTGTCTTCTGCCTTAAGTGGAGTGGTGTGAGAGGGTTAGCTACCTCGTTGTCGGGGCTGCTTAGCTCTCCTCTCATTGGCAGCCAAGGGGAGCCTTCTCGGTGAGTCGGAGATGATCCAGGCTGACGCTCAAGCCAGGGCCTGAGTTTGCTCCACCCACAGCCACCTTCCCGGTGCCATGTTCCTAAGCCAATAGGGCCTGGGTTCCCTTTTCTGGAAAATAAAGGACTGGACCCTAAAACTCCAGGATTCTTGCAGGTAAACTTTAATAGGATAAGACAAAGAAAAAGAAGAAACCCCTGCCCTGGCTGGTGTGGCTCTCTTGGCTGGGTGTCATCCTGTGCTCTAAAGGGTTGCTGGTCAGGGTACATGCCTAGGTTGTGGGTTCAATGCCCAGTGGAGGCATGCCAGAGGCAGCGATTGATGTTTTCCTCTCACATCGATGTTTCTCTCTCTCTCTCTCTCTCTCCTTCTCTTTCCTCTCTCTCAAAAAAATCAATAGAAAAATCTAAAAAATAGAAACAACAAGAAGAAGAAACCTCTAACTCTTAGCATGTTAAATTAAATATGTTCTTGCATGTTGAGTGTGGAAAGGGGGGAATGTTTTACATTGAATAAAGATGAAATTTGAAAATATCTAAAAGAGAAGAAAGGCAACTATTGTGTAGTTTGATCAATTTTGTTCAAAGTGGCTTGCAGAGAATTCTTTGATTAAAAATGGACTTATATAGCCCTGGCCGGTTTAGCTTAGTGGTTGGAGCATCAGCCCGAGGACCAATGAGTCCCAGTTCAATTTCGGTCAAGGGCATGTACCTCAGTTGCGGTTTGGTCCCTGGCCCTGGCCCTGGTCAGGGTCGTGCGGGAGGCAACCAATCAATGTGTCTTTCTCACATCGACGTTTCTCTCTCTCTCTCTCCCTCCCACTCTATCTGATGACAAATAGAAAAAATAAATTAATTTTAAAAAGTGAAATTACATATAATTAAGAAATTTTGCCCTAAGTTTTATGCCCCTGTTCCCAGGCCTGCCACTGAAGTCTAGGGGACCAAGAAGGGTGGGAGAAAAGAGTCCGAGAGCAAGACTGGAAGCCACTAAGAGAAAGACAGAAGAAAGGAAAGCCTCCCTCCTTCACTGTTTATGCAGAGGGGTAAACAGTTGTCTATTTACTGTAGTTCCCACACGTATAACTAGGCCCCCCAGTGAATTTGAAGGTCATACTATTCACAGAGAAATGAAAAATGACGTATTTACAGGGCTTCTGTAGCCACCAACATTGTTTTAACACCAAGATACCATATAAAGAGTTACTATGAACATTATGAAGAAGGTGCAAAGGGAAAATCACCCTGGTTATGAAGGTTGATATCTGCACTGAGACTGTGCAGTCTTTCCGGAAACATTAAGTCACCGTGGCTTTGGAATCGTGGCCAGATTCTTCTCATCCGGCTCCCTGTTTAGTCTTGTGTAAGTTAGGATTGCTTTCTGCTACATATAACAGAATACTGTACCAGATTCTCAACAGTCCAGGGACAGGGTCTCTATAAAAATCTCCTGGCCCTTTCTCCTTGTCACAAGATGGTGTTTGCAACTCCAAATATCAAGTCCACATTCCAGGATGAAAGAAAGGGGGAGAAAGAAGCAATGTCAGCAGACTTCTGCTGCATCCCATTGGCCAGAACCATGCCACATGTTCACCTCCAGCTGCAAGGGGGCCTGAAAAATAGAGGTTTTTTGTTTTCCAGCCTCTGTTGCAGAGATGTTGAGGGAGAAGAGGAGTGAGATTAGATGTTGGGTGAGCTGACAGCATCTGTTACATCAGCCCTCAGGGAAAAAAAATATTGACAAGGACTGGAAAATCTTATTCAGCTATTTACTCACACTGGCATTAAAACTAGAGAATACCTGTTACAATGGTGTGGTAGGCAGAATTCTAAAATGACCTCCATTGACCTTGTATAATTTCCCCCACCTAAAGTGTGGGCAGGATCTGTAGATATGAGGAGATATCACTCCCGTGATTATATTGCATCATAAGGCACAATGGGTTTTGAAGATGTGATTAAGGTTACTAATCAGTTGGCTTGAGTGATTCAAAAGAGAAATTATTCAGATGGGCCTAACCTAATCACATGAGTCTTTTAAATATGAAGATAGAGTTTAGAGACAGCAGAAGTCAGAAATGTAAAGCACCAGAGGGCTTCAACACACCATCGCTGACTTTGAAGATGGCGAGAACCATGTGGCAAGGAGCTCAGAGCTGCTTCTGGCTGACAGCCAACAAGAGAACAGGGACCTGCATCCTACAACCACAATGAACTGAATTTTGCCGTAGCCACTTGAACTTGGAAGAGGACTCTGAGATGAGAATGCAGTCTGCTGGACATCTTGACTTTGGCCTTCTGAGATCCTGACCAAAGAATCCCACCATGTTGTGCCCACACTTCTGACCTACAGAATTGTGAGCTAATACATGGGTGTTGTTTTAAGCTACTAAGCCTGTGTTCGTTTGTTACACAGCAATAGAAAACTCATACAAATCATTAATAAAGGAAGGTAGCCAGGGGAAAGTTTTGTTTTTGTTTGTTTGTTCTGTTTTGGTTTTGTACAGCAGCATCAAAATGAATGGAGAAGACAGCAAGGTGCTAAACATTGTTAAAGGGACAGTGTTTTCCCTTCTGACAGGGCTCACAGAAGGCCTACCATCTATTACAATGGAGCTTGGGGCTGTAAGAGAATTTGAAACTCTGAACATTATTCCTCCGAGTGGCTAACCTCCCTGGGTAGAAGCCGGCCCCTGGAGGGGCACAGGTCTTTGCAGGCTACGAGGACACACTACATGAAGCGCTTTGGACATTGTTCCACAGGCAGTAGGAAGCCACTGAGCATTTTTCAACAGGAAAGTGGCATGACCAGAGTGATTCTTTAGGAAGATGAGTCTGACACTATGTAAGATAAATTGAAGGAGAAAGAGACTGGGACTGAGAGAAAGAGGGACCCACAGAGGTTCCTGTAATGATCCACACGTGAGGTAATGAGGGCTGCGGTAGCTCCCTGGGCTGTTAACAGTCTTAGGTTTGAACCCCCTGGCCTCTCCCCTAGGTTCCATCAAGACCCTGTCTGTACTTATTTCTCTTCAAACGTGGCTGCCCAGGTTCGGGAAGACTGGGGTAGACATGCAAGGAGAGGCAGGGGTGCTTAAGAGCTCTGGCCGGGTCCCAGCCGTATCACTGGTTCACTCTGTCTGCATCTCAGCCAGGCCCTGGGACAGCTTTCCTCTCTACGAGTCTATGAGAAAGTCTTTGGATTATTTGGAGGAAAAGACTTGTAAACTCCAAAGATTAATATATGGAAGTTACTATGATTTACTGGATTCTCCGTCATTCTGAGACAAAAGAAGTTACTTAAGAAAATGAAATGAATGGTTTACATAAGTAAGAAGCCAAGAGGCGTGGCCTGCTGACCCAGGGGTCTGAGAAAGGTCTCTGGAAGCCTCTCCTTCTGTCTCCCAGCTCCAATCTTCTCCGTGTTGACTCACTCTCAGGCTGGTGCTCCCCGCAGAGGCCACCAGCAACTCTGGCCACCAGCAACTCTCACATGCCTGCCAGGTGAGCAACCCCGTGGAAAGAAAACACTTCTTTATCAACAGTTCCTTCACATTTCCCAGGGAAGACCCTCAGTGGATAACTCAGGTCACATGCCCAACCTCAAGCAATTCCACTGGCCAGGATGGGATCACTGCTGTCCCCAGGAGACAGGAGAAGGCCTGTACCATCTCAGTCTCATGAACTTTCAGCGGAGGAATGCATTCTCCAAAGGAAAATCAGGATGGAAAAGAATGGGAAATAACTGCCAATTATACAGTGGATGCCTCTAAAAACCGCTGTTACCTCCGTGGTTTAAAAGGCTCAGAAGCTTTCTGACCTCCTAATCAAGGGCAATGGGATCTAGATCCTTACCAAAGCTTTTATGAGGAAGGGACCAGTATTAGCTCCATTTTACAGATGGAGAAATTGAGACCCAGAGAGGTGAAATCACCCACCCAAGGTCACATCACTAGTATGTGACAGGAATCGGGTATGCCAGATTCAAGAGCACTCACAGTTGTGACTCCACCTTGTTAAGTTCCCACACAGGGCAGACGTGGCCTACGGTTGTTAATGCTGTAGAAGGCTCTCGGCTCAGGAAACTCAGAGCGAGGGCATGTGACTGCATTAGCACGGCTCCCGAAGTCTGGTCTGACGTGGACACCAACCTCAGCCTGGCTGAACCACTGACGGAGTTAAGACTCCGGAGACGAGCACCTGCGCCCACGCAGGGACGATGTGGCGGCGTCTCGGAGCTAGCCTCCACACACAGGCACAACTTACCCGTGGTCCCAGCCTCCGTCTGCGCTCACTTGTAATAAATGGATACGCCTCCTGCCTGTTCTCTGCGGACATCCGCATGCACACAGGAAAATGAACTCGTAGCGCTTTTTAGAGACTCCAGGAAAATACAATAGAAAACTTGGGCGGTGGGGCTCATGCTGGGACTTTTCAGATTCAGCATTTTATGTGGAGAACAGTGACCTTCAGATTTTGCGGAACATGAGTCCTTAGAACTTGTTTTCTGTTGTTGTTGTTGTAGTTGTTAATTCTAACCCGAGGATATTCTTTCCATTGATTTTTAGAGAGTGCAAAGGAAAGGAGAAGGGGAGAAAAAGAAACATCGATGTGAGAGAGACACGTTGATTGGTTGCCTTCGCACATGCCCCATCAGGGCCGGGGATCAGACCTGCAACACAGGTATGTGCTCTTGACCGGAAATCGAACTCGAGACCCTCTGATGTGCAGGCCGATGCTAACCACTGAGCACGCCGGCCAGGGCAGAGCTT